GTAACAGAGAAGATAGGCAGCGGGGAGGGTATAGGGGGAAAGATGAGCTCTGGTTTGGACGTGTTGAGTTTCGATGTCTGCTGGATGTCCAGTTGGAGATGTCTGAGAGATTGGAGGTCAGCAGAGAGAAAGCAGGAGGGAAAGTTGATTTGAGAACCCTCAGCATAGAGATGGTCATGAAGTCCATGGGAGCTGGTGGATCCCCAAGAGAAGTCGTGTGGTGGGAGAAGAGGAGGGGGCCCGGGACCCTGAGGGAACAGCTCCTGTTAGTGGTGAGCCCTGGGTGAAGGCCCAGCCAAGGAGACAGAGGAGGAGCGGTCAGAGAGGGAGGAGGAGAACCAGGAGGGAGAGGGGGCCTGTGGACCTCTCTGGCCTCCAAGGTGGGGTGAGGGCAGGCTTGAAGGGGCCGGGTAGGGCTGAGATTCCTCCCTGGCTGCCCCCGGCTGCCCCCAGCCCAGGCCGTCCCTCACGTCTCTGAGACTCCGCAGACCTCTCGGTGCTCTCTGACGGTTGGCCACTGTTTTTTACTTTGTTTTCCCAGACTGTGGCTGGGCCCCCCGTACAGAGGGGCTGCAGAATCAAAGCATGGGCCCCAGCCCAAGCTTTCCCACATTCATGTTTAGATTAGTATTTTATTTAGAAAACTAGACACTGCCCACTAGTCCCACAAAGTGCCTGTCCTCCCCCCCCATTTATTAAGCGCCTACTACATGCCTGGCACTGCGCTAAGCTGCTTGCGGATACAAAGAGGAGGACAAAACCACCAGTCTGTGCCCTCGAGGCCCCCAATCCAGTAGCACCCGCAATAGCCAGGGGGCTTTGGGATCCTCTCCAAGGGTGGGGCACCAGGACAGGCTTCCTGTACCTGTAGAGAGCTGGGAAGCCTGGAGGCGGAAATGAGGAGGAGGTAGGAACACCCAGAGAAAAGGCAGTTGGGGAGCCTGCGGGAGGAGCAGGAGGTGGGCCGGTGAGGCTGAATCATCGGCTGTGTGGGGGGCAGGGGGGGGGCCGGGGCCTGGGCGTGAAGGGCCTCAGGGGCCACACGGAGGGTGCGCGTGTGATCCCGGGGTAATAGGGAGCCACTGGAGGTTATTGAGTAGGGGGTGGCGTGGTTGGGCCCGGGCATCACCTGAGTGGAAGATGGACCGGAGTGACATGAAGGCAGTGACCGAGCCTGGGATTTCCTCTACCAGAGCAGGTCAGCACCTTCTCTGCAACTCAGCCCGGAGCAAGAACCTGGTAAGTTACGGGACTTACCCAAGGTCATACAGCCGGCACGTGGCAAGACCTGAACCCAGGTCCTCTCGATTTTGAAGATGGCGCTATTCGCCGTGACACACTGCCCGTCCCCAGACCCAGAGGTAGAAGAAACCTTCGAGCCCACTGAGTCCACCCCTCTTCTTTCACAGATGCCTTCCTTGCTCACCCAGGCCCGGCCTCAGGGAGGTTCTCCAAGGCTGATGTGGTCCCTCTGAGGCCCATCACCAGGGGCCGGCCCCCGGTCCTTTCCTGGAGGTCTAACCCAGTCGTGGGTGCCCAGGGGAGCGAATAGTGTGGGCTGAGGACCGGGGATCGGATCCTGCCTCTGATGCTGACCACCTGGGGGACTCCGGCCAAGCCCCTTCATTCTGGGCCTCGGTTTCTCTGACACCGATTTTCCTGATGATGGACATTTACCCTCTCCTGCCCTCTTTCTGCTAAGTTTTCCAGGCCCGCCATCATTGCCAGGGTGATGGGTGGGCGGCGGGACTTGGGAGTTATCGGGATCTGGGCCCTCTGAGCCTTCCTTAATTTTATCAGAGCAGTTTCCTCTGAAAACCGTCCATGACCACCCGTTGGTGGCTGGCTCGCAGGAAGGAGTGTTCAAGGCTGTGATTGAGAAAGTTGCTTTTCCCTTTATAAAACCCTGACCTCTCTTTAAAAACTGGACCTTGGTCCCAGCTCCTCATCTGGCCTTTAGTAGCCCATGCCTCACCTAGGGAATCCCATCTGGCTTTTTTTTTCTTTTCTTTTCTTTTTTTTTGGTTTTTGTTAGTCAATGGGGTTGAGTGACTTGCCCAGGGTCACACAGCTAGTAAGTGTTATATATCTGAGGCTGCATTTGAACTCAGATCCTTCTGACTCCAAGGCTGGAGCTCTATCCACTGCGCCACCTAGCTGCCCCACCCCTCCCCACCTGAGCCTCAAGGCAGCCTGAGGCCCAAAGAAGGCAGTGCCCCTCCCCTCCAGGGCCCCCCACTATTCTGTACCCTGGTCTCAGGCGTGCCTTTGTCACCTCTGCCTCTCCTTCCTTTTCCTGGCATCCTTTGTTAAAGGGCCACAGCGGCCCGGGTGCAGGCTGGGTGCCAGGGCCGCAGAGCCCCGGCCCCGCAGGAGCTCCCAGCCTCTCCAGCAGGCACTGTCTGTGCACTGTGAGGATACAGTGTTACAGGAAGGGCCTTAGGGAGGGGACAGCCGCCCTGCTGATACCGTCTGGCTGTCTCCCTGCTTCAGGGCCTGCTGAACGCTTCACAACAAGCCTATTGTGCCCATTTTACAGAAGAGGTGACTGAGGCTCAGAGAGGTGAGTGACTTGCCCAGGGTCTCACAGTGGTATGCGTCAGAGGCCAGCAGGCCTAGAATGGCTTTCTCTGAGTTCTGCATCTTCCTCCAGCACGACCCACCCCTTGTCGTCCTATGGGACTTTCCCTCTGCCTTTGCCCTCTGCCTCCTTGTGTTGCTGGGGCGTGGCACATGCCGCTTCGGTCTTGGAGGCCGGGTGGGCGAGAGGGTGTCCTGATTGATAGGCACCAAATTAAAATGGGGCTTTTCTTGATCTTTAGAGCAAGAGTGTGAGGCATTGTGGGTGAAAGAAACTGCCGTGTGGGAGGCAGCTTAGGGTTGGAGATGAAGCCCCTAAGCCAGGGACTGACTGTGCCCTTGAGAAAAAAGGGCAAAGCGCCCCGAGGCCGGCAGTCAGGGAGAGAATCTGGTGATGGGGATGCGGGGATGAAGGTGGGAGCAGGCAGTGGAGACAGAGAGACCTCAGCGCCTCCTTCTCCTGGAGAAGAAAGACCCCATGCGCCTGCCTGAAAGACTGTGTGGTTACTCCGTATAGGTGTTGTGTGTGGCACTGCGGATTCAGGGCTGGACTGGAGTCACAGAGACCCGAGTTCAGATCCCACCTCAGGACCTGCCTTACTGCTGACCCTGGGTGGGTCACCTCCCTCAGCCTCGGTTTCCATATCTGTAAAATGGGGGTGGTAATACACTTACCTCCCAGGGTTCTAGTGAAGGTCAAATGACCTAATATGTGTGAAGCACTTTCCTTCTCTGCACATGCCAGCTAGCTGTTTGTGTCTGGATGTCACCCCCGCCCACAGCGCGAGCTCCCTGAAGGCAGGGATGGCCTCGGTGTCTGGGTGTCATCCCCCCCAGAGCGTGAGCTCCCTGAAGGCAGGGACGGCCTCAGTGTCTGGGTGTCATGCCCCCCAGAGCGTGAGCTCCCTGAAGGCAGGCATGGCCTCCTTGGTCTTTGCCTCCTGGTGCTTCGTGCTGTAAGCATCTGCTTACTCAGGGCTCACTCGAGCCGCGTGTACAGAGTGGAGGCCTGCCGTTTCCATCATTTTTTTTGGTTCTGCTACATAATTACAAATGCCGTTCTGTTTGGTGTTTAAGTTCAGACTAAAAGTGACAATTAATTTTAAAACAAATGATTGCTTGAGTGATGGAGGCGTGACTGGGGATGCAGGGTCTTCGGCACGATGCCAAGTTGTGATGGCGTGGGAGTAGAGATGTGGAGTGAAGGGACTTTGTTGGCGTCAGAGTGGGGATGCTGAGGTCTCAGTGGCCCGAGAGGTCAGAAGCCGCTCCGCCTGGTTGGAGAGGGAGGGCAGAAGTGAGGAGGGTGGGGAGTCTGGGGAGGACCTGCATCTCATTGGAGGATGACACAATCCCAGGAAGCAGAGGGCCCAAGGCTGAGGCCCGAGGCTCTGGAGCTATGCTTCTCTCCAGGCGTTTGCATCAGTCCGTGCCTGGAGTTCATGCACCCAGCGTCTCTGTCACCCTTCCTCCTTCTACCTCAGCTCTGGTCTGTGCTGTGTTCCCAAGCCCTTGGCTCCTGGAACAAGAATATCTCCTCGGGTGGGAGATATCCATTCCAGCCAAGTTGTCAATCAGCAGGCCTCCGTTAGCACTTGGCTGGGTGCCAGGCATGGTGCGGAGCCCTGGGAACATATCTAACAGCAGAAACAAAGACAACATGTGTGAAGGGACTGTAGAGGAGAGGGGCAGAATGCTGGAGAGAGCCCTGGGCGTTGAGTCAGCGGCACAGCCCAGAGAGGAAGGAAGGCATCTTTGGCCTGGGCCTCCTCCTTGCATTGGAGGTTCTCTGAAACATAGCACCCTCTCCCCAAGCGGTACCTCGCATTTAGTCTGTTTTTCACCAAGGACAAGGTCTCTGTCTGAGGGCTTCACTGTGACTTGGGGTTAGAAACTCCTTGCGTCTCTGTTTAACCCCTAGTCGTTGAATTGTAGCCAGTCAGAATCAGTTTGGAGGCCGTGCTTCCAACAAATTGCCCGGGGTTCTTTGGGCTTGCCCTCATCCCCTGGTTTTTCAGCCCTAGACCTCCTTCAGTGTCCCATTCAATGAAAAATGAATGGGAGAAGGGGAGGATCCAGCAGGCAACAAAGCATTGCCATAGTCCATCCCTGCATATGTGTGGCAGAGGCCTACCCCCCAGTAGTAACTCATTTAGCTGTGTGCATCCCTTCTGCCCCCTCCAGGAGAATTACCCTTTCCCTGAGGGTGGGGCAGTTTTGTTCTCCGGTGCCAGCACAGTGTGGCTCCATAAGTCGACAGGGAGCTCAGCCCCCTTAACGTTCAGTGTAGTTGGCACTTTCCCTCAGATTTCAGGTCTTGGACACCAGGAGATGCTGGGGCTGCCTGCCACGGGAATGGGAGATGGGGCCTGAAAAGCCACCCTCCCTTTCTTCACAGCTTTTCCTCTCTCATCCCTCAGATCTAACGTCTGTGAATCTCGCACCTCCCCAGGAGGGGAGCCCAGAGGAGCGTGGAGTGTCAGCCAAGGTCCTGTTGGCCAGCATGCAGGTGAGTCGGGGTCCCTTCCCTCCCCAGGAGTGTCCTCTGAGCTCCTGGGCCACAGATGCCTTTCCTTCTCAAGGCCCGTTCCCCTCCTTGTGGTCAGCAGTCAGTAATAAGTAGTTGAAAACTTATGTGTCAAGACCCGCTTCTGAGACCACCCCCTCCAACTCAGAAATAGTGAGGTAAGGCCCTTAGAGACCTCCTGGGTGAGCACCTTCACTCTGCTTTGGAAACAGAGGCCCAGGGAGGGAAGCTGACTTTCTCAGCCTCACACAGGGAGTTGATGGTAGAGCTGGGCCTGGGGCGCAGCTGTCCTGACTGCCCCATGTCAGGTGGTCCTCTCCCCTCTGCTCCAGCCACACTTTCATGTCCCTCCAGATATGTACCTTCAGATACCCTTCCTGTCTGCCCTGGTCCTTCCCCAGTGCCAAGGGCTCCCTCCCTGCCCCCAGGGGTATGACTGGGCTTGGTGTTTCAGGAAGCAGTGACCTTCTGGGACGTGGCAGTGGACTTTGACCTGGAGGAGTGGAGCTATCTCTGTCCTGCTCAGAAGGAACTCTACAGGGAAGTCATGCTGGAGAACTACAAGAACCTGGTGTCGCTGGGTAAGGACCCTCCCCGGGGTGGTGGGCTCTGCACTGAGGGTGGCAGGATTGAGAACGGAGGAGCCACCATGGGGCTCAGCCAAGGCATGCCTGCCCCTCTCCTCGCACCCCCATGCACACCCCAAGTTAGCAGAGGGGCTGGAGTCATTCCCTGACCAGTTACGCAGCTGACCAGCGTTAGGCATGACCATTGCAACCTCCGCATTTTATCCTGGAGGAGACTGCCTCTGAGAGGGTGAATTTTTTTAAAGGTCAACCAGTAAGAGAATGGCCAAACTATGACCCAGTGTGGGGTTTCTGGAGTAGATTGCTCCAGAAACGTCGGCTGTAGCTATAAGACAAGAAAAATAAAATGGTCACCTTTTGTTCTTAAAAAAAACAATGGATGGCTTATGTTTTTACATCACATTCATTTCCAAATATGCCCCTCTCGGTAGGTGTCACCCTGCCCCAGCAACCCATTCTTGTAACAGATTTAAAAAGAAAGAGAAAAAAAAACAACTGGACAAAACTAAAGAATGGTAAGGCCTCATCTGACAGTATGCAGTGCCCTACCCATAATCCCCTGCCTTGTACCCAGCGTTCCCTGCCTCATGCCCGGCATCCCTGTCTCATGTCCCTACTCCCCCTCCTCATCCCCAGCGTCCCCAGGGTCCCCATCCTCATGTCCCTAGTCCCCCGCCTCATACCCAGTGTCCTCTCTCTCACACCTGGCATCCCCAGCCTTGTGCCCGGCATCCCTGTCTCATGTCCCTACTCCCCCTCCTTGTCCCCAGCATCCCCAGTATCCCCAGTCTCATGTCCCTAGTCCCCTGCCTCATACCCAGCATCTCCTGCCTCAGCACAGGGGCAGAGCAGAGCGTTTTCTCAGACCCTCTCCAGGGGCCTTTCTGGCTCACCAGGGTCTTGTTTCGTCAGCTTCCCGAGGACCGTGGCATCACCCACTTGCCTTTGAGTCTGAGGCGGTTGGCACTCTGGGGCAGTTCCGACCCTTCTGCCTGGAGCACGTGCAGAGCTTTGTTGTTTCTTTCCACGAGCAGGGCTTCTGGATCCCAAGCCAGACCTGATCTCCCGGTTGGAACAAGGAGAGCCCCAGTCGTGGGATGTGCAGGAAAGGCCCTCTAGCAGTGTCTGCGCCCAAGCAGGAGGGCACCCCAGCAGGGAGTCGGGAGCCAGAGGGAGCCGCCCAGCTGCCTCGGAAGGATGGGGTGGGGCAGGTAGGTGTAGGGGAGGGTGGGGGTTGGGATGGGGGAGCACCTTGAAGACCACAGGGCCTTTCCATCCGGCTTGTAACTGATCCATTTAATACAGGAGTTCTTAACTTGGGGTTTGTGAATTTAAAGAAAAAATTTTTGATAACAAGAAATTGGTTTCCTTTGTAAGGGTATATATTTTATTTTATGTATTTAAGAATATTACTTTGAGAAGACCCCTTTGGCAGTCTGTTGAAGCCTATGGACCACTTCTCAGAATGCTGTTTTAATTGCATGAAATAAAATGTATAATATTACAAAGGAAGCTAATTATATCCAAATACAGCTACCAAAAAATTAAAAATAAAGCTCAGGGCCCCAGGGTTAGGGACCCTTGCTCTATTGTATTTGCATCAGAATCCCCTTCACAGCAGAGCTAAATGGTTCACTACCTCTTTCCTGAGGACTTCCTGTGAGAGAAAATCTACTCTCTCTGGAGAGAGCCCTCTCCAATTTTGCATAGGTGTAATGGCTCGAAAGGCTTTCTGCGTATAAACCTAAATTTGCCTCTTTGGAACCTCACCCTCAAATCTAATCCTCAGAGGCTTACGGCCCCTTAAATTCCCAAAGAGGGCCCCAGGGTCGTCCCCTTGGCTCTTTTTTTGGGCTGGTCATTTGTCTTTAACTCATCCAGACCCTCCCCAGCTGGCCGACTCAAGGTCCTTCACCATTCTGTGTGTCATTTCTGCCCAGCGCTTGCTTCAGATGTGGTGTGACCCAGGACCTCGAGACTCTTCCCTTTCTAGAGCTGAGCGGAGTACCTCTTAATGTATCCTAGGATTGTCTAGCTTTCCCTTTTCAGCCAATTTTAGGTAGACTAGTAGGATTGTTGATCCGGGTGAAAGATGACCTAGTCCAGACGGGTCAAGTTTGCAGAACAAAGTCTCCCCTCCCCCCGCATCCTGAACCAGATTAAAATGTAATTGGGAAAGGTTTAACAAAATAAATACAAATACAGCACGATAAAGATAATGCTCATTTGTGGTTTTCCAAGTCAATATGTGGACTGCAGGGATCTGTTTCCATTTGAGTCTGACCCACTGGCCTAGCCTTTACTAGAGGGTCCTTACAACTTGGGTTCAATTTGTTTTCATTATTTTTTTTCAGCCTGGAATATTAAACTTGAGAATGAGGAGTCATGTCAAAAGAAAGAAGAAGGAGGATCACCTGAGACCTTAGTGAAGAGACTCAGGGGGAGTGTTCCCAAGGCCCACCTCCTAGGGGAGCTTCCTGTCCAAGCGATCAGTGTGTGGGAGCACATGGCAAGCCTTGCAGGGGACCCTTCAGGGAAATTCATGTTACAGGAAAGAGGTTTGGGGCCATTGTCTTTTCTCTCCAGGAAAATCCGTAATCAGCAAGGAGTCCATGCCTGTCCTGATCTTGAGAAAAGCTTTAGCCACAGTATCTGCTGGCCCACAAGAGCGTGGAGTTACAATGTATATGAGAATCTCTCTCATTACCACACAGCCGTCATTCAACACCAGAGACTAAATAGGGGAGAGAAACCTTATGATTTTGAGCAGCAATGTGAAAAGGCCTCAAATCTCACTCAACACCAGAGGATTCACACTGGAGAGAAACTTTATGAGTGTAAGGAATGTGGGAAGAGTTTCAAACGAAGTTCACACCTTATTCAGCATCAGAGAATTCATAGTGGAGAGAAGTCTTATAAATGTAATGAATGTGGAACAGCCTTTAGCCAGAACTCACATCTTGTTCGACATCAAAGAATTCACACTGGAGAGAAACCTTATCATTGTAAAGAATGTGGGAAGGCCTTCGGCAGGAGTTCACATCTAATCCAACACCAGAGAATTCACACCGGAGAGAAACCTTATGAATGTAAGGAATGTGGAAAAGCTTTTAGCCGGAGCTCAGCCCTTACTCAACATCAGAGACTTCACAGTGGTGAGAAACCTTACAAATGCAAAGACTGTGGGAAGGCTTTCAGCTGGAGCTCAGCCCTTACTAATCATCAAAGAATTCACACTGGAGAAAAACCTTACAAATGTAAGGAATGTGGGAAGGCATTCAGCTTTAGTTCACTCCTTACTAAACATCATAGAATTCATACTGGAGAAAAACCCTATGAATGTAAGGAATGTGGGAAGGCCTTCAGCCAGAGCTCAGCCCTTATTAAACATGAAAGGATTCACAGTGGAGAGAAACCCTATGAATGTAAGGAATGTGGTACATCTTTTAGTTGGAGCTCAGCCCTTATTCAACATTATAGAATTCATACTGGTGAGAAACCTTATGTATGCAAGCAGTGTGGGAAGGCCTTCAGCCAAAGTTCAGCCCTTATTAAACATAAAAGAATTCATAGTAGAGAGAAACCCTATGAATATAAAAAATGTGGGACAACTTTCCATTGGAGCTCAGCTCTTTTTCAACACCAGCAAATCCACACTGAAGAGAAATCTTAAAAAATGAAAGATGAAAACCTTCAGCCACAACTCGTCCCTTATTTAGGAAAGAATTTTTAGAGGAGAAATACCCCTATGTAAGTGAGAAGTATATAAAGCCCTTCATATAAAGTTCAAACTTTAGTCTATATCAGAGAATTCATACTGAAGGAGAACTGAATTCCATGAATGTTGAAAGGCCTTTAGTCAGGGGCAGACTCTCACTCCATCAGATCATTCATCCATGAGGGAGATGTAATGAATAGCCTTCAGTGTGATTGGTGAGGTTTAATTGCACGTCCACCAGTTCATCCTGGGCAATCACCCTAAGAGAGCAGAAAATTTGGGAAAGCCTTCAGACAAAAATCTAGCTGACTTTACCACTCATGAAGTCATCCTGGAGGCAATTGCTACAAATGTAAGAAATGTGGGAAAGAATAAAGTGACTCTATCTATCCCTAACTCCACATCGTCACCCCAAAACAGCAAGAAATTTAGCAAAAAATTTTTAAATGCAGTAAAGAAAAGTGAGGAAAGAAATCATTACCAAGAAAACTTTGCCGAAAAGTGAGCAGAGAGGCCGAACTAATGAGTGAATAGAAAGAAATACTCTACCACGAGAGAAAAGAAAGCAGTGAAAAATGCCCAGAAGAAAGGAACAATACTGCTCTAGCAATATCTAGCCTTGAGAAATGAGACTAGAACAACCAGAGTGGGTGAGAATCTTATTAAAGTAAAAGATGTGAGGAGAAAATTTGGAACTCAAAAAAGAATTTCAAAAGATAAACAAAACTGACTATGTAGAATAAAAGGTAGAAAGTGTTAACAAAGAAACAGATACCATGAAAAGAGAACAGCAGGAACAGATCACAAAAATGCTAAGATGTAGCAAGAAATATTGGAACAAAGGTAAAAGAGCAAAATCAGAAGAACAGTTGAGAACTCCATAGAATACGGCAAATGAGCTTAGAGACGAAGCTTGGAGAGCCAGTCTGGAAACCATTTGCCCCTCACCCCCAGAAACAAAGACCCTGAGTACCGTATTTCTTGAAATCATACAAAACAATTGCCTGGAAATGTTGGAATTAAGAGTCCACAGGAATTTGTCAAAGAAGAACCTTCCCCCATTCCTGCCACCATTTTAACTCATCAGGAAATGTAGTCAAGGACACCTAGCGCTTCAGAGCCGAAGAAAGAGACTTGCACACTGCAGGAGGAGTTGGTTCACTTATCAAGGAGCCCCGTGTCTGGTTCCTTGAAGACTACTCATTGATGATGGAAGAAAAGGTAAGAAAAAACTCCATATTCTGAGAAACAAATAAAAATGGTTTCTGTGCAAGCATAACTTGTCCCACAGAGTTGAGCATGAAAGAAAGTGTATTTTCTTTCTCACTCAGTGACTTCCATTTATTCTTTCTGAGAAAGCCAAACCATAAGGAGGAAAAAATAATCCCTGGCCCCAGGGAGCTTTCCTTCCGATGGAGGAGACAGCATGCAAATAGCTAGGGACGTAGAAGACAGACACTGAGCCACTGGAAATTCATCTAAGAGGGGAAGGCACCCAGCCAGAGGGACAGTCAGAGACTCCCTGCTGAGGTGGCATTTGAGCTGAGTTTTGAAGGAAGCCAGAAAAGCCAAGAGGCAGCAATGAGAAGGCCAGTATTCCAGGCACAAAAAGCAGCTAATGCAAAGTCCTGGAGTGTCCTGTTTGAGGAACAGCAAGATGCCCACGTATCTGGAATGTAGAGTGAATGGAGGGATGTAAGGTGAGAAACATGGGAAGGCAGGAAGAGCCAGGTTCTGAAGAGCTTCAGATGCCAAACAGGATGCTATACTTTATCCTGGAGGTAATAGGGAGCCGGTGGAGTTTATGAGCAGGGGAGTGACATGGTCAGACCCGACATTATGACAGCTGAGAGGAGGATAGATTGGAGTGGGGAGGATGCCAATCAGAAGGCTATTGCAGTAGTCCAAGGGAGGGATGAGAGCTGAACTAAGGCTTGATGACGTGTGAGGACAGGTGATAGATACGAGAAATACCGTGAAGGTAAAAACAAGGTTGGGCAAGGGTTGGATCCGTAGGGTGAGTGAGTGAATGTGACGCCACGATTGCAGTCCTGGGGGACCGGGAGGATGATGATAGGGAAGGGTTTGGGGGACGGAGGATGAGCATGTTTTGGACATGTTGAGCTTGAGATGCCCCCAGCACACCCAGGTCAGGCTGCGACGGCAGCTCAGGAGGGAGACTAGGGCTGGATGCGGAGATCTGGGCGTGGTCTGCACAGAGATGGTAACGCCAGATAAGGTCACACAGAGTGAGAAAACAGTGCAGGACGGAGCCTTGGGTTAGTAGGTGTGATGTGGACGCCACAAAGAAGGCTGAGGATTCCTCAGCCGGGACGAGGACCGAGGAGGTAGTAGTGGCACGGAGCCCGGAAGAGGAGGCGGCATCCGGGCGGGAAAGTTGATACGCTTCAGGTGCCGCAGAGAAGTCAGGAGAGACGAGGATCGAGAAAACACCGTTAGCTTTGGCAGTTGAAGAGATCGCCAGTAACTGGGGAGGGATGCGGTCAGAGGCCAGACTGCAGAATGAAGAGAGGAAGCAGAGAGCAGGAAGACACTGATTGTAGGTGGCCCGCGAGGGAGTTTGGCCGCGAAGGGAAGGGAGTAAGCATCTGTTGAGCGCCTACTAGCACTTTACAAATATTGTCTCATTTGATCCTCACAGCAACTCTGGGAGGTAGGTACTGCTATGATCCCCATTTTGTAGTTGAGGAAAATGAGGCAAACAGAGGCTAAGTGATTTGCCCAGGGTCACACGGCTAGTAAGTGGCTGAGGCTGGATTTGAACTCGGGTCTCCTGACTCCAGGCCCAGCACTGCGCCACCTTCTATAGCAAATAGAGATGGTCAGATCAAGTGAGAGCTTTTAGTTCTGATCAGCCAGAATTATCTTAATGGAATAAAAGAGAGGAACAATTGAGTGATATCCAAGGGGCAGCCAGGTGGCACTGCAGTGGAGCAAGCACCAGCCCTGGAGTCAGGGGGACCTGAGTTCAAATCCGGCCTCAGGCACTGTGTGGCTGGGTGACCCTGGCAAGCCGCTTCATCTCTCTGCCTCAGTTTCCTCATCTGTAAAAATGGGGATGCTAATAGTAACACCTGCCTTTCAGGGATGTTGTGAAAGATCAAATGGGATTGCAAACCTTAAAGTGCTATGTAAATGCCAACTCTTAATTTTGGCAAAATTTTCATCAGAGAAATACATATTCAAATAGCTCCTAGGTACCACCACACACACCGATTAGCAAAGATGAGAAGATTCAGTGTGGGAGGGCTGTAGGAAGATAGGCTTACTAAGTCACTGTTGAAGGGGCTGTGAACTGGTCTATGCTTCTGGAGAACCGTCAGAGTCCATAAGCATGTATTAGATGCGTCCTGTGCACCAGGCACTATGCTAAGTGCCAGGGATGCAAAGAGAGACAAAAGACAGGCCCTGTCCTTAAGGAGCTTCCAGTCTAATGGAGAGGAAAATGCATAAACAGAAGCTGCAAATTGTGGGGAGCTGGAGAGAGGGTGCCCGGCCCTGGGGCCCTACCCTGGGGGCATCCTGCAGCCAGGGTGGGTGATGCGCTAATGGGGGAGTTACAAAGTTGATGCCACCTTGCGGAATGATGAGTTTCTGGAAAGCAGCCAAGTGAGAAATGATGAGAGGAATTCCCGAGTGTCCTCCTTGGTGGTAGAGGATTGGGGAAGGGTCTCTCCAATGCCCACCTGCCACCCTCTCCAGTCAGAGGGAGGGAGGGGTCCCGGGGCAGCTGAGGAGGGGCGCGTTTCCGAGTTGATTTCATCTTGCAAGGTGAAGAGTTTCAAAAGATTGTGACGTCCAGGAGTGCAGACAAATGGGGAATAATGTTTGGAGTGAGGGGAGAAGCGTTAGCAGTTGTCATAACCTTTGACCCACAGTCATTGCTCATGTCCTTACACCCCGAAAGAGGTGAATCTCAGTGAGTAAAGACCCAGACTCCATATGTAGAGAGTAAAGAGATTCACGTTAACATTGCTGGAGAAGCCAGCCCAGCGTTGGGAGAATGGCCGAGCAATCTGGAGTATGAATTTGGTGGAAGTGTACTGCGTCGTAGAGATTTGGGAATGGGAAAACTTCAGAAACACGAAGGCAGCTTTATGAAGGGATGCTGAATGAAGATAGCAGAACTAAAAGCCAGTGTGAGGGAAAGCTCCCCCCCACCCATTCAGACTTCAGAAATGGAAAATGAGCTTCTGTTGATCATAATCACAGCATTAGGTTTACTTGGTTTTGTGAGGGAAGGATGCTTTGAGGATGAGGGGGCCCATTGCTTAGATAGAGAGGAGGCTTCTTAGAAGAATTAGACCAGCTGGGAATCCATATCAACCATCAATCAACCAAGAAACTTGGGCCTGGCAGCTAAGTGCTGGAAATACAAATACCAACAAACTCATCAGTCCCTGCCCTTAAAGAGCTTACATTTGAAGGGGGAAGATAGCCCAGAAAAGGGAGCTGTGTGTCCTCGTCCTCCTCCCTCTTGGAACCTTCCATCCCTGTGTCCTTCACGGCTCTGCACCTTCCTTCTAGCTCTGAGATGGGGGTATCCCCGCAGCTGTGCTCAGGGCTCGCTCTTGCCCTCTCTCTGCACCCCCTCCTCCCTCCCTTGGCTTCCGGGAGTGATTTTTGAAAGTGAAGCTGACCTCTCTCACCATCCCCAGCCTCTCCCAAGGGCTCTCTGACCCTAGGAGCTTCCTCATGTCTGTGTGGGGAGTGGGACAGGGCACGTCTAGGGGTGCCCACCTTAGGACATTTTTAGTCAGCTGTGGATGCCTTCACAGCTCCTCTCTCATTCCCCAGATTGGCTGTCTCTGAGTCTTGCCCTTTACCAGAGAAGGATGGGATGGCAGCTTGGGTCCTACTGGCCAGAGCCCAGGTGAGTTGAGGTCTCCTTTCTCCTTAGGACTTAGGCCTGTCCTCCCAGTTCCCTGATTCCTGGTCAGCTTGAGGATGACAGGAGTGAGGCCAGGAGGGCTCCAACCCTCTTCTTCTTCTCTAAGGGGGCTCCTCTCAGCTTTAGACTGACCTGAGGGGCCCAGCTCCAGTCTCAAACTCTCGAGCTTTTTGCACCCCCACCCAGGAGCTGCGGGGGGAATCACTTAAAGCTTAGGTTTGCCTCGTGTCTAGAATCTTCCCAGAAGAGGGTAGGGAGAAGTTAGTGTGTGGTGTAGGCCAGGTATAGGGCAGCTATTTATTTCCTTTACATAAGACTCACAGGAGCATATTAACAAAGCCTTCAACAGGAGTACCTTAGACCTACATTATGCTCTCCGGGAAGGCTGATACCTAACGAATCAAACATGGAGTGTTTTGTGTGACTGCTGATTAGGCGTTTTTTTTATCTCCTGCCCTTTCTTAACAAACCCCTCCAGGTTTGTGTCTCTGGCAAGCCAGTGCAAGCAGGGTTGGTCTCAGCCTCCTGCAGCCTTCCTCTTGTCCAAGAAGGGCACAGCTCCCAGAGTCTTGCTTCCAAGGCTGGCAATGTCCATCTCGGATCTCCACTTGATTACCTTTCCTAAGGAACAGGCACAAAGCCAATGAGGGACTGGGGCCTCGAGGCCAGCGGGCAAGCGCTCTGTGTCTGCAGGCAGAGGCTTGGCCATCGTGCAGGAAGAGAGGTCTAGAGGGTGGCATCACCCCTTCTCAGGGCCCCTGAGGCAGCCAGTGAGGGGACTGTGAAGTCCTCCAGAGACTGCTGGGGGGAGTCAGCCTCGTCTGCACGGGAGGTGCTCCAGCCCACCCCCTACAATAAGACTCAGCCTCACACAGGTTATAGGATATGGGCCACAGACCATAAGCACCCTCTAGGCCAACCCCTCCATTTTGCAGATGAGAAAACCGAGGCCCAGGAAGGTAGAGGGACATGCTTGGCAGCATCAATGGCCAAGCATCCAGCACAGTGCCTGATGCATAGTAGGCGCTTTGTGTTTGTTGACTGCTTGACTGAGGTCCCACAGGTCTATCGAAAGCAGCAGAGCTGGTGTGTGAACCCAGGTTCTCTGGCTGCAGTTCCAGAACCTTCCTGCTGTCCTACTCACAGTGTAGCTCCATGCGTGAGGGAGACATTGAAGCTACCACCCTCCCTGTCCTTAATAGTAAAGTATTGTCCTTAGAGAGGACAGGCCCAGAGAGGGGGAATTACCTTCCTAAGATACACAGCAAGTGAGTTGTGGAGGTGGAACAAAACCTAAATATGCTGACAATGAGGGGCGCCCTGGAGTCCTGTCCCTGCACACGTCCCTGCCCTCCGGCACACCTTCACACCCATTTCCCCTTCCTGCAGCCCCAAACGACCTTTCTCTTCCCTGCAACTACAAAGGGGGCGGCCCCTTGGCCAGCCCGAATGTAGTGGCTGTTTGAAGGAAGCACGACATTCTGGGGTGTGGCCAAGCACCGAGCTTGGGGGTGGGGGGGAGGTTGAGCTTGGCTAAGGAGCGCCCGATGACCCTCGAGCTCTGCCACTGGGGAGTTCAGAACTGAGAGCAGGGGGACCGCTGCAGTGCCCAGCTGGGCATCTTCCCAAGCCAAACTCCTGTTCTCTCTTGGCCCCAGAGACTGTGTGTGCGTGCGTGCGTGCATGTGCGAGCACAAGTGTGTGTGTATGGTGTGTGCTTGTGTGTCCGTATGTGCGTGTGTGTATGGTGTGTGCATGCAAGTGTGTGTATGGTGTGTGCATGTGTGTCTGTATGTGTGTGTGTATGGTGTATGTATGGCATGTGTGTGTGCATGTGTCTGTGGTGTGTGCGCGCATGCATGCGTGTGTGGCGTGTGCGTGGCATGTGCATGCACACACATGTGTGTGCTTGTGTGTGTGTGGTGTGTGCATGCAAACGTGTGTGTCCACAGGTGTATGTGTGTGCACATGCAAGTGTGTGTATGATATGTGTGTGTTCACAGTCTGTGGTGTGTGTGTGCAAGCACGTGTGTGCATGGTATCTGCCTGCACACATGTGTGTGCTTGTGTGCCTGTATTGCATGTGTGTATGGTGTGTGCATGTGTGTGCACACACAAGTGTGTATATAGTATGTGTGTATGCACATGTCTGTGGTGTGTGTGCGCATGCATGTGTGTGTATGGTGTGTGCATGCAAGTGTGTGTGTCCACAAGTGTGTGTATGTGTGCACACACAAGTGTGTGTATGATATGTGTGTGTGCACATGTCTGTGGTATGTGTATGGTGTGTGTGGCATGTGCATGCATACATGTGTGTGTGAGCGCATGTTACGCCACAGACTTTCCAAGCCCTGCCTACCTCTTGCTTTTTTTTGGTGGTGGTTTTTTCTTTCAATTATATTTCATTTTCAAATCTGAATTCTTGCCCTCCCACCTCTCCTCCCCTTAGCCCCATCAAGCGTGTTGGCAAACACAATCCATGTTACAAATATGTACAAGACAGAATCCTGCATTGGCTGGGACCAGAAAAACGTGTCTCAGTCTGCGTTCTGTCGGGGGGAGGGCAGTGTGTCTCATCACGAGTCCTCTGGAACTGTGGTTAGTCACTGAATCAGAGCTCTTCCTTTTGTCCACTGGCCTTGTTTATGCGTGCGCTGGTCTGGTTCTGCTGCCTTCGCCCTGCATCAGTTCAAGTGAGTCTTCCCAGGTTTCTGTGAAGCCATCCCCATCGTGATTTCTTACAGCACGCTAGTGTTCCGTCACATTCATGTGCCACAACTTATTCAGCCATTTCCCCAATTGACGGGCATCCCCTCACTTTCCAGTTCTTTGTTGCCACAGAAAGAGCTGCTACGAATACTTTTGTACGTGTGGGTCTTTTTCTTTCTTTGACCTCCTTGGGGTATAGACCACGTAGTGGTATTGCTGGGTCAAAGGGAATATATAGTTTAGTAGTTTTTTGGGCATAGCTCCAAATTGCTTCCCAAAAAGGCTGGCCCAGATCACGGCCCCACCAGCCATGCCTTCATGACCCTGTTTTTCCACATCCCTTCCAGCATTTGTCATTTTCCATCTTTGACATCTTAGCCAGTCTGGTGGGCGTGAGCTATTTGTTGAGTCATTTTTCAGCCGTGTCCGACTCTTCACGATCCTTTTTGGTATTTTCTTGGCAAAGATTCTGGAGTACTTTGCCATTTCCTTCTCCAGCTCATCTTACAGATGAGGAAACTGAAGCAAACAGGATTAAGTGATTTGCCCCGTGTTCTCACAGCTCGTAAGGGTCTGAGGTCAGATTTGGAACGAGGGGAAGAGGGACAAACGTGGGATCTGTAGGTGGTATCCCAACAAGCAGCTGTCTGTGAAGGAGGGAGCTCTAACAGGCAGCCAGGGGCTGCTGGATGGCTGCAAGCTGCCCTTGAGTGCCCACTCTGGGCTGGGCGTTGTGCTTAGAACTGGAATACAAAGACAGGTGTGAGACAGCCCCACTCCCAGGGAGTTTACAGTGTATCGGGGAAGACCACACATACATGCATAGGTGCACACAGATACAGCGAGCATTGATTAAGCCCTTCTTGTGTGCCAGGAACAGTGCTGAGTCCTGGGGATAAATGAGGTAAATACAAATGGAGTTCATGCCCTGGTGGGGAGAGAGACGTGCAGACAACTGTGTCCCCTCAGAGGGGTGGCACTGGCAGAAGAGGGGGACCGGCAAAGGCCCCGTAGAAGGAAGTCAGGAGGCACCTGGCCACCTCCCACAGGATGACTCCTAACATGGCATTTGCTGGTGGGCTGCCAGTTCTCAGTGGCCGAGGGTGATGATTGATGATTCTGGTGATGCTTGGGTTAGACCTTCAAAGGCCCTTATAACAGATTCAAATGATTTTCTTTCCCAACGTCTTTCAGCCCGGGATTTTAGACTTCAGAACCTGGAGCCACCTTGAAATCCAGGAGGAGCAGGCTCTCCAGGGACCCAGGTGGGGAGACTCCAACAGGACGTGTCCGAAGATCGGGTCATGGAAGGAAATTGAGACTTTCCAGCAGAGATTCTGGGAAATCCCTTTCCCAGCAAAGTGGTTTCAGGAGGATGATTGTCTTTGGAAACGCAACCTCATTTGGGAAGGGAGTCCATAAATGTCTCCTTTTGGGAGACCTTAGGAGCCTTGAGATCATGGAATTATAATGGACATGGGAATATTTCCTGTTGCCACACCGTCCTTGGTGACCCCTGCAGAGAGGGGAGGGAAATTGTGAGTGAAGCGAGAACTTCCATTTTGAATAAGGGAACTAATTAATGCCGGGCAGAAACTTGATCAATGTAAGGACTGTGGATGGACCTTTAGGAGATGTTCACATCAGAAAACTTCTAGTGGAGAGAAGTCTCGGAGATGGGAGGAATCCACACGGGGAAGCTTCAGCCTGAATTCATACCTCCCTCCACAGCAGAGAACCCCTAGGAGAGAGAGGCCTTGTACACAAATGGAACATGGGAGCAATCCTCACTCAACATCAGGGACTTCACCCTGGCAAGAAACACGAATGTGGGGATTGTGGAAGGGCCTTCAGCCCCAGCAGGGCCTTTACAGAACATCAGAATATTCACACTGCTGAGAACCTCGGTGGGTGTCCAGGGCCTTCAGCTTCAGCTGACGCATTACTAACATAATTTATGTGAGAGAGTGTTTGAATGTGAGTGCTATGGGGCCACATTCTGTTGGTGCTCATCCTTTACATCCAATCACGCACAAGAGAATCATGAGTATAATGAATGTAGTCTTCAGCTAAAGATCAGCCCTTATTAAATGCAAAAGAATTCACATTGAAGAGAAACCATATGTCTTTGTTCATTACATAGGCTGGCTAGGTGGCACAGTGTGCTGGGTTTGGAACAGGAAGATCTGAGTTCAAATCCAGCCTCAGACACTTAGCTACGGGACCCTGGGCAGGTCCCTTAACCTCTGTCTGCCTCACTTCCTCAACTGTAAAATAGCATTTACCTTGTAAGGTTGTTGAATCAAATGAGATATTTGTAAAGTGCTTAGCCCAGTGCCCAGCATATAGTAGGTGCTGTTTAAATAATTATTCCTCCTCTCTGGGAGGAGGGAGGGCAAGAAATACAGAGGGGAATGTAGGCTATATTAAAGCAAAATATATCTTTTTTTTTTTAAAGGAAAGAAACCATATGAATGTAAGTAAGGTTGAAAGGCCTTCAGCTGGGCCTGGCCCTTGGACTCATTAAATCCACCTGAGGCAGAGGGCGTCAACAAGGGCTCAAACTTGATTAAACCTGAAAGAATTCCTTGAGATTCTGGTCCTGGGGTGGGGTGCTGGCGGCCTCAAGGTTATCTCCGGACTGGATCGGCCTTTTGACTGAGTCCAGACTTCACAAAACAAATCCTCCTGCCACTGCTCTGGGCCTTTCATCTTCCAAAAGGCTTTTATTCTTGTTTCCTCATTTACATAGAGTGTGCCCCTAGTCATTGATGATGTCAGTCTTACATGTGTCTTGGTAGGTTAACTCCCAGTACTATATGCACTTTGTAGTTATGGTGAGAGGCTTTTGAGAGCACGGTGTGGAAGCTTCTGCAGTCTGCCACTTTCACAAAGCTGTTGGTCATCTTGATCATTTTCTGTTTTCCAAGGATGCCGTTGTGTCCTCTGCAAAGCCAACATCTTACCCCACGTATGATAATCGTGCAATAATAAGCTGAGATGAACACAGGACCTAAGGAGAGAAGGTTACGACAATTCCTTTTACGGCTCCAGCTAGTGGGAGAGTTCCTAAGGGGCGGGACATAGAGAACATCATAAAAAGGCAAAATATAAATTTTTAATTGTATGAAATTTAAAATCTTTTGCACAAACAAAAGTAATACAGATAGAATACAAAGAGAAGCAGTCAAGTGGGAAAAAAATCTTTCCATGAAATATTGATGCAAACATTACACCAAGACTCATTTCCTTAGTGGTCAAAGGACATGAATGAGCAGTGTCCCCAACCCCCCTCCCCAATAATTGCAAACCATAAAGGGCCTTTTGGAAACATGCTCCAAATCACTTATAATAATCAAAAATTTCAATAACTTTGAGATTTCACCCCAGATCCTACAAATTGGCAGAACTGACAAAAAAGGGTAACAGTCATCATTGAGGGGCATGTGGGAGGAGGCACACTAGGGAAGAGGAGTAAGGGGAGGGAAGGAACAAGCCTTAGTGAGCACCTTGCTTCACTCTGCAGCTGCTGCCTTGCCTTGGTTCAGCTCCCTGGAAGGATGCCCGCCCGGCGTAAGCTCATCACCTCCCGTCTCATTGTCATTCTGCTAACTCAAGCCTGGACTGACCCCACCTCTCTCAGCCTCCTCTCCCCTTGGACTGAAGGGCCGGGGCAGGGGGGAGTGGAGCACCAAACTCCTCCCAGTCCCTTTCTTTATAGAGGGCAGAGCCTGGACTTGGGGCTCCGCCCTCTCTGCATCTGCTGCTCTGCCTGGCTTCAGCTCTGAGGAAGAAGATGCCCCTGTGCTGGGCATCCCCTGACTCCCCCGCCCACTTTCCTGCCTCCTTTGTGCATCCTCTCCCCTTTAGATTATGGGCTCCTTGAGGGCAGGGACTGTCTTTTTATCGTCATTTGTCCTTCGTTTTCTAAGAGGACCACCCAAGTCCTGGAGTAAGTCTTGACTTGCGCTTGTGTGTGAATTGGATTTAAGTGAGGCAGAGCCGCACAGTGTCGTCAGCCTCACTCTTGCTGAGTCATCAAAGGCCGGGGCAAGACGGAAGTCAAGACGACTGGAGATGGCCCGGGATGCAATGGATGGCCTTGGCCTCTTTGATGCCTGACCGGGCTCTAAGCACTCTCCAGCGCCCGCTCCAGCCGCCTTCACGGCCATCGGAGCAAGTTGTTCTCATCAGTCTCTTCCGCCGGGGGAAGTCTGCCCACGTTTGGGAGGGAAACCCCCCTACCTCGCTGGTGGGCTTAAGGCCCGTTGGTTACCCTCAACCTGGCTCAGCCCTCTGCTGAGCCATCTTCACTGGGATATGGCCAACGCACAAGCTACAGCTTCTCGGAGCCATGTGTGAGAGTCGGGTGGACCGGGTGGACCCCGGAGGTGGATGAGCAGCCCTGAGGAGGGCTTGGCGAGCCCTCACATCTGAGGCGCTAGGCCTCCTGAACAGCCCATCTTTTCATTAATCGCACCCTCAGGCCTAGCACAGTGCCTGGCACATAGTAGGTGCTTTATTGGGCTACATTGCATTGGACGTTGAGAAAAAGACAAGGCTTCAGTGAGAACAGCCACGGGGAACTAGCCTGAGGTCCATTTTTGACAGGGTTACTGAACTGCTAGAAGAAGGAAGAACCCAAAGTATATGTGGCTCACAAACATGGTTTTCTTTTTTCTTTCATGCAAAACAATTGATCACTCAATACTTGTACTGATTTGATTACAAAAGACTCCTTAAAGAAATAAAGAACCTCTTAAGTGGAGGAATCTTCAGTGCCCATGTGCTAGGCCATGACTATGTAACAAAAGAGACAATCCTATCAAAGTTGGTTCACAGATGTAATGCCATGCCAGTCAGACCACCAGAGGGATCCCTCCAGGAGAGGCGTGATTGAAAAGGAAAGGGAGTTGTTCACATGAAGAGAGCGAGGGGTAGCTGGTAGACAACCTCATGGTCCACCGTCATCCACACACTTTCAAAGGAGGTAAAGAAAGGCACACTGGAGGAGGGGGAAGGGGAGGGAAATGTTAGTGAGATCACAGTCTGAAAGTGGAAGAGGCTCTTTTCACTCCTACCTCACTGGACAGATCTGCAAGCCTTTTCCAGTGCCCCCAGCTCTAGAAGATCTGCGTGGCTTCTCTGCTCCAGGCTGAGGTCCACGCAATCTTTAATACTCTGCTGATTGTCCTGCAACTCACATGTAATTGTGATTTATTTTATATAAAATTAAATGCCGTTTGTACTTTAATGTAGCAATCCAGTCCAATGCTCAGTAATTTTCCAAAATATTATAAGGTTTATTTTCAGTTGGCCTCAATGAAGAGGTAATGACCGTATCATTTCTCCGTTAGGAGTTTCAGGGTTGTTGTGTGTGCATGTCCGTGTACTCGTGACCTCTCTCTCTGTCTCTCTCTCTCTCTGTCACAATGGAGCTTTGGAGTGACTACCATTTACCACATCCTCCCTAGATGGAACACCCAGGCTGGCATCCTAGACAGCATCTGTCTGTTGCTTGCTGCCCCATAGGCATCTCAAAGTCCACAAAGACATAATAGAAGTCATCCTCTGTCACTCTAGGCTCACCCACCTTTGATTACCTCTACTTCTAGGAAGTCCAGCTAGCAGGGAAAGGGCAAGAAGGCATTTACCTTTAGTCTTCTACATTCAATTGATGGAATCTAAACAGACAAGGGAGGGGGTAGGAGAAAATTGCCATGTAGGTCTGTCAAGTCAGATATCCTAGACTGTAGCTACAACCTAGGAAGGGAAGATATCCAGAAACACAAGACAGAAACCAGGAGTCAAAACCCCTGGGCTCAGATGTCTATATAAATGTGCAAAGTGTGTAACCAGGAGAGGAGAATTTAAGCTCTCCAGCCTCACTGAGACTCAGTGGACCAGGAGATGAATATTCTATTATTAAAATATGGTCCTTTTCAAAAAGAAGAAAGTAGAGACAAGAGAGGTATATATTAAGCATGGTATGTTCACATAAGGACATCTAGGAACCAGTGAAGGGCAGGGGAGATGTGGGAACAATGTCAATGAAGATCAGTGGGAGACAGAAACAAGCAATGTTCAGTCATTTTAGTTGTGACCTCATTTGGGATTTTCTTGGTGGAGATACCGGAGTGGTTTGCCATTTCCTTCTCCAGCTCATTTTACAGATGAGGAAACTGAGGCAAACAGGGTGAAGTGACTTGCCCAGGGCTACACAGCTAGGAAGCATCTGAAGCCAGATCTGAATGCAGGAAGATGAGTGTTCCTGATTTCAGATGCAGCACTCTATCCACTGCGCCACCTAGCTGTCCAATATGGTCATTGGAGCATTCTAAAGTTAACATGGACAGGGAGAGTTAAGTGAACAAGCATTGACATGCCCGCTATATGCTAGGCACAGTACTAAGCACTTGGGATGGAAAGAAAGTTTTAAAAAAATAATCTCTGCTGTCAAGGGGTTCCCAGACTAATGGGGATACATGCAAACAATCGTGGACAGACGTGACACAGACAACCTAAACTGGAGATAATCCACGGAGGGAAGGTCGAGCATTATGGGGCTTCTTGTAGGAAATGGGCCTTTTGAAGTCTTGAAGGAAAATGGGGAGGTGGCGGTGAGAAGGGAGGGAGCTCTAGGCATGGAGGACAACCAGAAAAGATGGCCGGGGTGGGGAGAGGGCCAGCGTCACTGTTTTGCAGAGTTCATGGCACAGAGTTAGGTGAAAAAGGCTGGAAGGGAAAGGAGATAGCTAGCTTACAAAGATCACTTTCACAGCTGAGCAGAGGATGGATTGGAATGCAGAGACTTGAGGCCCCAGGGAACCCCTGCAGCCGACATGGCTCCAAAAAGGAAGTCTAAGACAATCCACCCAGCATGATTTCCAGCCACTGGTCTGGGAACGGGACAGAAAAGTCACAGTGCCTGTCACCACGGAGTCCATTTGGGGGGAGGTGCAACATGTCCTCAGACTGTAAAGTCACTCTGGCGAAGGGGACCATCACTGGAGGTGATCAGCGAAGGCCTCTGGGTGGGGTGGAGATTCTGGGGTTTCAGTATGCTGACTGCAAGATCCCTTGCCCCCATAAACTTCTGTACTTGGTGGCCTGAAAATCAGCACCCTGGCTAGTGCCCCCCTACCCCAATGTGTCCACTCCTATGGCAGAACCA